GTGACGCATACTCATGGTCAAATCGCAAGTATGAGGCCAGTATGGCATCCGAATCTCAACATTTCGCAGCATTTCGCACCGCCAGTTTTCACGGGCTGCCAGGACCCGTCAGCGCCGCGGCAGGCGCGAGGTCCGAGCCCACGGTACTGCAGTGGCGCGGGTTCCTGATCCCAGCCGAGTCTCCGGGTGTGCTCTGGATCGACTGTCCCGATCATAGCTCGAGCCGATTCCCTCGTGCAACGACTCATACCGGCTCAGACTAAGCAATTGACAGTCTCGGGCAGGGAGAGGAGCTACATACCGATCGGGACTGCCATGGAGGTCTTCTACCGGATCTGGGAGCGAGACAGCATACTGTCGGAGTCCACGACGACAGGCCAGGTTTCAATCGCAGCTACAATACCCAGCCACATCTGACTCCGCGTCGCCACCTGCCGCTCTGTGTGTACTGTAGTGTATCAAGTCGGACTGTGATCCCATCATCAATTTTTCCTCGTCTTTACATTCATCTCCATTCCTCATCATCATCAGCACATTGGTCTCAGACGCGCATCCATCTCTTAGCAATGCCACTACGAGACCTCTCTCCCGAGTTATGGCTCCTGGTCTTCAAAAACCTCGTCCCCACGCCTCCACAGAGGGTCGAGCCCAGGCGCTTGACACCCGACTACACCGACCCCTTGCGGATGCCTGACCTCACCCCTGTTCTTCGGATGTGTAAGGTGAGTGGAGTGGGGAGTGGACTCGAGGGAGGGGGGACGCACAGAACCGAGAGGGGAAAGGGGGGGGGGGGAGGGTCTAGGCAAGAGTGAGCAGAGAACGAGGAGGAAGGGTGGCCAGCGGACCGGAGGAACGTCAGTCAACACGACACTACTGAGGGTGACGGCGAAGCAGAGAGCGTCGTCGAACCACATTCCCGTCGTGAAGCTCCCCTCTCCGCATTCACCGGATCAACGACCACTGTGTTCAGAGCTGACCATCAGGAATGGTATCTGATTGCCGCTCCCCTGCTCTACTCGACTCCGGAAGTCGATGACCTCGGTACTTTCTTGCTTGGGTGGGATCGTTCTGTTCTCCCCGGCTCGTCCCTCGCGGGTTTATCGGACCGGGAGCTTCTCGAACGTGGCAACACCAAACTCCCTCTCCTTCGGCACACCAGGCGTCTCCGCCTGGTGATCAATAACGTCTGGCAGGGCCCCGCATACAAAGACGAGCCCAGGGCGGCGGTAGAGGCGGAGCTGTTTCGGCGGGACACGATAATGGATTCGGCGGTCGACCAGCTGTATCGGCGGTCCTACTCGGACGTCCTCCCTCAGCTAGCCAAAGTGACATTGTCAGCTCCCGACAACTTCGACAAATACGGCCACTACAATCATTCGGGAACTCCGGCCCTCGGCTTGAAGGTCATATGTCGCCTGAGACCTCGATTCCTATGCGAGACGTGGTCATCAAACAAGCTCTTCAAAACCCTTCCAGTCCGGTTCAAGGACTGGCAAGACCGGACACTACCAGACGTGCATGCTTTTCACGCGGACTTTGGATTCAACTTTGGCGTGATGTGGGGAACGGCGAACACCATTTTCGTCAACTTCGAGAGGCGGTTGAGGGAGCTCGAGGGCAAGCCCATACATCTCAAAAGTCTCCTCGACTGGGCATGGCCCGATATCGCGGGATCTGTCCCTCTATCGGCCCGTGCAACATTCTTGAAGTCTCCTTGTCACGACATGGACAAACACACCACGATCGACTTCCACGGTCTCGTCAGCCATCAAGTTCTGGACTGGGCGAAATGGACACCGGTCACTGCGCAACGTCTTCGCTCCTTCTACTTGGAAGCGGACAGAGAGTCCCGCCAGGAGGATGTGCCGGATCCAGTCGAGCTCGAAATGGACGCGGAAGGCGCAGAGACGTGGCTGGCCCGGTTGATGGAAAAGTACATCGCGTACAAGTGCTGGTGGAGGATTGGCGGGCCGAGAGAGTTCTGGAGGAAGATGATCAAGGTCTCGACGAGCAAGGAAGCGGTCTCTTGCCCTGCCTGTGGCGTGTGATTGCGGAGACATCGGGCGCGACTTCGACTCCGACTCCTACATCGATCTCTGCCACACCATTTTCATACCCTTACAATGCAAATCCTCGGTCTCAGCCGTGCCACATTCATGCACCACCAACTGGGTATGCCTCGGACCGCCACTGACGTCGATCGATCCCGTTCCTCAACCGAGTCCGATCGACGCTCACCCATCTCACTCTCGCTTTCCAAGCGACATTACATCCATCCCATGCGCACCTATAGTTCCGACCTCGCCCGATGGCTGACAGCGGGAAGAAGCGGCTGAGAGCTATCGTGGTCGGTGCAGGAGTCGGCGGTACATCCACCGCGGCGAGGCTCGCACACGCCGGTACCGACGTCGAGGTGTACGAGAAGAACGACTTCTCAGGCGGGAGGTGTAGTCTCATCCACCATGAGGGGTACCGGTTTGACCAGGTGAGTGGTGGTAGCCTCCACTCAGATATGACCTAGTGCATCCCTCTCAGCTGCAGATGACCCTGCAGCGTGCCCTCGACTCGATCAACTCTGACCACCACACAGGGCCCATCATTACTCCTCCTGCCCCCGCTCTTCCACAAGCTGTACCACGACCTCGGCACGACTCTCGAAGATCATCTCCAGCTCGTGCAGTGTCATCCCAACTATGTGATACACTACCAAGACGGAGAGCAGGTCGTGTTGTCGTCGGATCGGGCGCAGCTGGGAGCAGAGGTGGAGAAGTGGGATGGACCAGGCGGAGCGAGACGATTGGAGGGCTTCCTGCAGTGAGTGGTGACCCTAGTCGGCACGCCTCTTGTCCCTCTTCGCCGCGACACTGATGAACCCAGGGAAGCAGCCGTCCACTGCAGTCTCTCCTACGACCTCGTCCTGTCCAAGACATTCCCATCACTCCTGTCCCTCCTCCGCCCATCGTTCCTCCTCAACGTGATCGCTCTGCATCCCTTCGGTTCGCTGTGGGGACGATGCTCTCGCTATTTCAGAACCGATCGGATGCGTAGGGCGTTCAGCTTTGGCAGCATGTACCTCGGGAGCTCGCCCTTCGACTCGCCAGGTACATACTCGCTCTTGCAGTGGACGGAGACCTGCGAGGGGATCGTGAGTCTGTGCCCGAGAAGAGCTCGGTGTGACGCGCGAACCGACCCCGATCCGGTTTGCTGATGACCCCCAGTGGTACCCCAAGGGCGGCTTCCACCAGGTTGTTCAATCCCTCGTGAACATCGCACAGTCCCACGGCGCGACATTCCACTTCTCCTCCCCGGTCGCTTCGGTCAACTACGATAGCTCGGGCATGGCAACGGGCATCACACTGGCGGATGGGGAGACGAGGGAGGCAGACGTTGTGGTGGTGAATGCGGATCTGGTGTGGGCGCACAACAACCTCTTTGTGAAGCAGGGCGAGGGGGTAAGGGAGATGGACAAGGGCGTGGGCAAGGGCGAAGGCATGGGCCGAATGGAACCAAAGGAGCTGCTGAATCCGAAACTCGCGAGACGTCTCCTCGAGAAACCGCACAGCTGCTCGTCTATCTCGTTCTACTGGGCCATGGACCGGCAGATCCCATCGCTGAACGCTCACAACATCTTCCTTGTGAGTCCTGCGCGCCTGAAGGGAGCTTGTGCTGAGTCAAGGGGCTTGGACTTACACTTCCAGGCAGAGGATTACAAAGAATCGTTCGACGACATCTTCAAGCGCAAGAGCATGCCACGGGAACCGAGCTTCTACGTGAACGTCCCATCCAGGATGTGAGTAATCCAGTGCCGTCCTTCTCGCCCAGCTGAGAGCGCAGTGATCCATCGGCCGCTCCGCAGGACAAGGACTCAATCGTCGTCTTGATTCCAGTGGGCCATCTCTTACCCGACCAGGACAAGATCCGCACTTTCACCAATGGAGCGGCGACACCCGATGTCGACAGCCAGGACTGGGATGTTTTGGTGGAGCGGGCTCGTCATCAAGTGATCGAGACTATGGAGACTCGATTAGGGATCAAGGGTCTGCGAGAGATGATTGTTTGGGAGGGGGTCAACACGCCAGAGACCTGTGGGTAGCCTCGCTTATCGGTCCGCTTGGAACCCGCTGAGCCCTGCCAGGGAAGGACAAGTTCAACCTCACCCACGGCTCCATCCTTGGCATCACCCACGACTTCTTTAACGTCCTCGCTTTTCGACAACAAGCACGTCATCCCACCGTCAGGGGAGCGTACTTTGTCGGCGCTTCCGCTCATCCCGGTACGGGTGTCCCCATTGCCATCGCCGGCTCTCGACTTTGCACCGAGGCGATACTGTCCGACCTCGGCGTCCCCCTTCCCGAGTCCTACGTCGAAAAGCCATCCCCACCGAAATCCGCGCTGGACATCCAACATCCGCGACCGTTGCTGTACCGTGCTGAGGACTTGGTCTGGAAGCTCCACCGTTTCGCGATCGCCTCTCTCTTGACTCTCTTGGTGGGGCTTCTCTGGGCTTACATTACCGGCCGACTTGCTGTTTCTCGATCACTGCCGAGGACATGGTTCGGTAACACCTTGGCATTCTGGCCGTTCTGACTGCTGGGATAGTCAGGCGCGGTCTAGATGGACCGTCGCTGCTCACTATCTGAACTGTACTTAGATTGTACAGATACAATGAACCTCTTGGGCCACTGTTTACCCGACGTGACCAACGGCATTGAGTAGCAAACACTTGAGAAGAGAGTAACATCGCGTTCGACTCCACCAGCGTGTTCTTCCCACCTCGTCGGGAGACTCTAAAGGTGTAGGACGTGGGACGTGTAGGGCTGGCTGATGGAGCCGTCTGGTCAGCGGGGCCGACCATGGTAGTGTTCTGATCCTGCAGCGCGCCATATTTAGTGAACTATGAACGTGACGGAGACGAGGAGCGACCCAAAAATGTGCTCGCTTTCCCGGCATTTTTCTGTTTTATATATTGATACGATTTCAGTCTTTCAAGCATCAATCTGCTCACCTTAGCTCAGTTGGATTAGAGCGTGGGATTGTAATTAGCTACACAGTGCGCTCTGCGCCCTCCCGAGGCCGTGCGTTCGATTCGCACAGGTGAGAGACAATCATTTTTTGGAAATCATAGATGAGGGGGAGGCGTTATGGTGCGAGGCTCAGAGCGCCACTTCCGCCGCCACGGGTGAGTGTCCATTCACCCCTCTATCGTTTCAGGACGCCCCTCGACCATCATACAGGCCCTCGAGGATGAGCGACTGACGTGAAGCACGGAAATGAAGAGGTTGGAAGCAGACGTGTAGCGGGATATGGCCGACGGGTAATGAAGAGGAAAGAGCCACACAGCCACCACAAAACGTTCCTCACATTCGGACATGAAGATGAGCACCGTACTCGTATAAGAGTGCTGAATCACGTACGCGTAGCGGGGAGGCTGCATTTGACGTCCCATGGGGAGAGCAAAGGTGACATGCTCGGGTGCAGAGCTGGTGGAATATTCCTTCCAACCGTGTGGTAGGCCAATAGGACGTGAATCATGGAATGCAACGGTGGTGCAACAAATTCAATGCGTGAGACCGAGCCCTTAGGCTAGCTCGCTTTTCGGCTATCGACCGTTCTATGTGTCCTCTCTCAACTCTCGTACTCCTCGCGAAGCGGCATACGCGAAACCACCTACCGTCTAGGCTGGCCTTACGCAGAACAATGAGCGACAGGAGTCAAAAACATCCGTGAATCGACGAGTGCAGTGAGCTAATAACAGAGCTCGCAAAGACCGGATGATGCCATGAAGAAGAATATATGAATACAAGGTTTCTAACAACCTAAAACGAAGCAACCGACGTTATCCAAAAACCTTGCACTCGTCGCTCATCCGCGTCATCCCAGCCACTTCCTATTCCTCCACCAACGTCGTCACATTCGCCGTGGACGCCTGGAACGAGCGCGAATGGCGGAGCAGGAAGCCGTTCACCGCTGCCGCGACGATTCTGGCCAGGTCAGCGGGAGACGGACACGATCAACGCCGCGCCCACCTTGTGGTCTGCGCGGACGTATGCCCCGTGTAGTCCGAGTACCTGTGTTGGTGAGCACTGCCTCAGCGCGCTTCATGTGACTCGTGGCAACCCACACAAAGCCCATCTGGCCCAAATCAGGCTTGGCACCGTGTATGACCATGTTGTACCGCTCCGTGTCGGTGAGACCGAACGCCTCTGGGAAGGTGGTGTAGAGCCGGTGGAACGCCTCAAAGTCAAAGAGCATGACGTTGGCGTCGGACAGCTCGCGCTCGAGCTCGAGAGCCGCGGCTCGGATCAATTTGTTGATGTAGATGGCGTCGGCCGCGGTCATGTGCCGGTCGTGATAACCCCCGTGGCCCGGGAGGTGGGCCTCCGGGTTCAGCTCGATGGGCGGCGAGGTCATGACGAGGAAGGATCGGACGCCGAGGGAGTGCAGGTGGCGCATGGTGTCGGTCATGGAGCCGACGAGTTGGCGCATGAGGGACTCGTGTTGATCTCGGGGAAAGTCGCGCTGGTTTATTAGCGGGGAGCGGGCTCGGGTCACGCAGATTTGCTCACGGCGAGTGCTTTCTGAGAGTGTCAGCGAGGCACAGACGGGGAGGGTTGGTCACACGCACAACGTCGTTCTGGCCAATCAGCAGCGTCACCAGGGTATCGTTGCCCCTCCATGTGGGGTGCTCAGTGGTCGGGCCTGCCGGCCATGCCCTCTCGAACTTTGCGATCTGCGTGCTCAGGTCTCTACGGCAGGTGAGCGGATGGCGACGGAGCTCTGACCGTCTCTGGTCGCACTCACCCCCATTCGGGTCGGAAGGGGGGGACACTGAGGCGTCAGCGTGGCCCATGGAGCCGAGTACCCACATCGTTTCGTTGATGACCGCGCCGCCCCACGCGAAGCTCCAGTAGGATGTTATTTCTGCGGGAGGGTGAGCGGCCCCACGAGAGACGTGCGGGTTTGTACGCACTCTGATTTCGGTACAGCCTGCACGGTCAGCACGATGTCACAAGGAGAAGCCCGGTCGATCCGCTCACATGTGGAGGAAGTCGCACCACTTGAGGTGGGGCCATAGACCGAGGCTCGACTGAACCGTCTCAGCAGACGCAGATGGATCAGTGCGGACCGCGGCATGCGGATCCGAGTGCTCACCGGGTTCTCGTTCCACCGGTGGTACGCATCCCTGAGTTGTCAGCGCGCTGGACACGCCGTGGGGCTGGGTGACTCACGAGTGCTCAGCTGATCGCGACCGGGTTGTCAGACTTTGGCGCAACGTGTCATGTACCACTCACACATGGAATCTCCGCTGAGTGGGGTCAGCCCTGGCGCTGGAGTACCAAGCTCGCACGAGTACCGAGGACCGTCGTACTCACAACACAAACAAATGCTTGATCCTCGGCCAGTCAAACTCCTCTCTTCCCGCTTTGATCCTGTCTAGATACCAATTCGTGTCGTCCTCCAGTTCCTCCTCTGGCAATTCAGCCGTCTGAACCTTTCGAAGCGCCGGCATCATCGCGGAGAAGGCTTCCCAAGCCCCTGGATGTTGCCCCGTCACGCTCGCATCGTGTGCTGCTCCTCCGGTCGTGACCGGCTTCGCCGCCTGCTCGACCTCGCACGGCACCGAGATCGACTCCTTGTCCCATACGATGGTCGGCAGCGTCGTCGTGGAGAGCAGGAGGAGCGGCGTGACGGCGACGAACAAGCCGACGCCGACGAGGGGGAGGAGCCATCGGCGGCTGCTATTGGATGATTGGGACAGGTTGGGAGACTGTGGAAGGCTCAGCATGGCGGGTTGGTTCAACGGACTCGAGAGTGACATGGAAGAACAAAGTCAAGTCAGATGCAGTCAGGTTCATTTCGGTCAGGCCAGCCCCCATCTCCACCGTCGCCGTTGCTGCTCTCTGCTCTGCTCGTCTCAACTTGCATCGATTGCAGCGTCGATCTGCAGACGACGCTGGCTGAGCTTCCCGCGACCTAGGGTTTGCTATTTTCAATGACTGCCAAAGCTTCCCGCTCCTCTGTTCAAGACATTCCTCAGGCACGGGGGGCGTAACCAGCCCGAGCCAGACCACGGAAGGCAACGTGAGCCGAGACTTCGCAACTCCTCGGCGCTCCCGAGACTGGCCCTTTTGACTTGCGTGTGGACCTGTCCAGACGTGTAGGCGTCGGTGGACCACTACCATCTGGTACACGTCTGGTGGGGCTGCATGCATAAGATTTCTGAGGGAGCAAAGTCGATGATGTGGACCATGTGGGTGGGATAGGAGACGCGGCCGCCACAAACCTCTATCTTACGTAATACAGTCGCAAATTGATCCCGCCCCCCGTTCGGCGCCACCTGTCCCCTCCTCGTCACCAACTCCTCATCCTCCTCCTCTTCTTTCTCTTTCCTTCTTCCTCTTCTCGCACGTATCCGTTTAAGCTTCGAGCTGCTCCAGCGATCCCCATCACCTCCTCCCACAGCAGCCGCTCAAGCGTACTCAACTAGTCAAGATGGGCGGAGAAGGTGCGTCCTCCGTGACCTGTCGAGCAATCAAACCGGGCTGACCTCGTCTCCTCCCTCCCGGATTCCCACTCCCCGCACACGCCAATCATCCATCCTCCTCCCATACGTCTCCATCCTCAACCACCGCTGTCACTTCTCTGGCATCATCTGACATGGCTTCTGCTACCCCGGCGCTCGCATTGCGCCCGCAGGATGGCTCTTCCTCTTCGCGGTCCTCATGGCCGCGGTCCTCCTCTTCACCATGGTCTTCTTCGTGAGTGGCATATCAGCGCGAGTTCGCAGAGGGGCATTCTGTACTTGGAAGCTGTAGAAGCTTCCCATTGCACGAATCTCCTCTCTGTGAAGACTACGCCTAGATCCTCGTGTTGGCATTCGCTGACCCACACTCTAGATCATCATGTTCTCCGACCTCGAATGCGGTGGGTCCGAGCGCACACCACTTGTTTCTTCGAAGCGGGGAGGCTGACCCGACGCACAGACTATATCAACCCCATTGACCTCTGCAACAAGCTCAACCAAGTGAGTCGAGCTTCGAAGCCCAGGCTGCGGACCGGCCCAGCGTGGGCCGGGACACTTTCTCGGGCCGAGCTGACACCGCCTCTGCAGTTCGTGCTTCCCGAGATGATCGCCCACGCCTTCCTCACTCTCTGCTTCCTCCTTTCCGGACAATGGCTGGCGTTCCTCCTCAACGCGCCGCTCGTGGGATACAACGTGAACAAGTGAGCGCGGCTGGGAGGGCTCTACCCCGCCTCATAACTGGAGGTATCTTTTTCTCCCAATCCCGTTCGCTGACGTTCGCCAGGATCATGTCCAAGAACCACATGTACGACGCCACGGAGATCTTCCGGACGCTGTCGGGGCACAAGAAGGAGAGCTTCATCAAGCTCGGTTTCTACCTCGTCTCGTTCTTCTACTACCTCTACCGGTACGTTCAGTGCACCCGCCGCGGACGGATCAGCCCGCTTGATTCGTACTTCGCCTGCAGGTGGCGCTGACGTCTCAGAATGATCCTCGCGCTCATCTCGGAGAGTGACTAAGCTGCGGTAGCAACTTGCGGCGGACCGAAGAAAGAGTGTTGGGACGGTGAGCTGCTGCGGCGGTTTCATCTCGTGGGGACCAAAAGACGAGCGGTGGGGTGCGAGTGGCTGGGAGCACGGGGCGACGGTGAGCGTGGGATGCGAGTGAGCCGCAATCCCGGGCGGAGCGAAGAACATCTGCGGAGGGTCATGGTGGCGATCACGGGAAGGGTGGCTGGAGACGGCTTAGAGCGACGACGCGGTGTCATGTGGACAGTACGGCGAAGGAGGGAGGGGATAGTACGAGGGAGACAGGGAGGGCAGGTATATTTGCGGGGAGAGACGGAGGAGATTCGCGGGGGGTGTGCGTGCGAGGTAGCGGCTACGACGTGTTACGCGGACGGCATAATGCACGAACGACTACACCTAGAGCACAGTCGTGAGATTGCGGAATTGCCAGAGTAGTTTCGCGGCCTTCACCATGCGGCTCAGCCCCACTACTACGCGTCCGCCAAGCGCACCGCTCGTGTCGTGCTGGTCCAGTAAGCGAGACGAAGTGACTGCGGGTCGCGGGCATG